ATTTTTGGGATATCCATTCCTTTTATTATGAAAGTTTGCTTCATTTAATATCTGTCTTTAAATTGATTTCATTGTCTTAAATAGATATATTGTGCAATATTTTATTAAAAGATGGTATAGTATAGTTATATTACCTTGCATTGAGTATAGTCAGGTTAATCTGTTAAGCGAATTTGAATTTGAAGTTTGGAGGATCTTAATTCAACTACAGTAGTTTCGACCACTATATTAGTTACTAATGACTGTATTATAGTGTTAACCACAATACCAATCAGATCTTCTATACGAATATCCAACATACCAATATGTAGTAATTGCGGTTTTTTTAGTATGTCTTTTTTGTAAACAGGAACCTAATTATTGGCTTTTACCAGGTCTAAAGTACTGAACGCCTGGAATCCTGACAATCAGTGAGACAAGTTTTCAAGCTGTCTTATCGGTTATCTATTAGTAAATGCGCGAGCATTGACATCACAGTAAAATCCGCACGGTCTCTAGGTATTGCATTTTTTGGTGCCAGGTAAACATCTGAAACATGGTGTGGAATTCGTCTTTGGATAATAATTGTCGCATTCGTTGAGTGTGGGATGTGGATAATCGTTTTATAATTTTCTAACTTTGTTTTATGGCTTTTAGACCGAGTAGGAAGGTTTTTAAAAATGCCTTTTACTTAAGCTTTTCCGTGATTCAAATTGATAACTATGTGGAAGAATTTAGTACTGTTTGTTGTTACTTTTGCCAGTTTGAACTTGGCTTCGACCTGCGCAATTTCACCTGCCACAATTCACGATCATCCTTTCAGTTTTGAATCCATTTGCATTATTCGTTTAGTAACATTCGCAAGGTGTGCCTTGCCTGTTTAAAATGTACAATTTTATAACGATATTTGTTTACTGAAATCTTTATCAATAACACCATTGTGTATATTCTTCTAAAAAGGTATAAACATACCTGATTATTCTAAATGTTACGATTAATAATTATCTGTATTGGTCGTTCTAACTATTTATATCGGGAATCTACGATCTAGCTGTTAATATAGTAAAATATAATACTAATAACGATTTTTGCACATAAAATCTTTTTATCGTGATCATATGACAAAAAACAAAAATAAAAAATTTTACATCTTCTAAAAGTAAACATAAATAAAATGTTAGTTATTTAAAGATGAAAATATAATTCTAGATGAATAACGATGTTAAGTATCAGTAGCAATACACATATAGCCCGTGGCAAATTTAGGAGATGGGGCCATTGTCTAAAAAAGCTACATTTATTTGAGTGATTTCTTACATTGATTAAACATAAATATTTTTATTAAATTATGTAATGTCTTCCTGTGCTCACGGCCTCTCGATCTTATTGCTCCTCGGGCTCCGGAGCTCGTTATATTTAGGCCGCTCTGCCATTATTTCGTTACGGTTATGCACTTAGTAAAACGGCATACCTACTTTTTTAGTTCCGAATCCATGATTAATGGAACATGTGTGTAAATAATATTTGTTATCAATTATTCTATTGCCAGCACGTGTAAAATCTTAAATTCGTAAATAATAAAATAAAACCATGATATAATCTATAATTTACGTGACATATTAAGGGGAAGGGTCAGAAAGTCGAAAATTCTGCATTTTTAAGGAAAATCAATATGCCATTTTTATGCGTTGATCTCCAACGTTCATGCGGTGGCTACAGATCCAGCTCGGCGCATATTCAGTCGCGCAGACAGTGGTGACAAATGACGCACGGATCAGACTGACGTCCGATATACGCCCCACTACCAGACTTGCTGAGTCCATAAGGATATATAGATAGCATGATAGGAAACAATCTATCGTGCTTATAATACAACGATCACGATCCCATCCCTTCCTTTCCTGTTTGATCTAACTCTCCTTAAATTTCGTGCCGTAACAAAATCTAGTGTATGTATGTACTAAAAAACGCTGGTTTAATTTTATAATGTCTAAAATTGTAAATACATGTGTTATCCTCTAGTGAGGGATAGCCTCAGAGATATGACCAACATTGATAAGGACAGGGGAGGGGTCAAGTCACGAAATTTGTGTAAAGTAATGTATGCATGACTCCCATTTTAGCTATTGGAGTTTATTGCCCTTATTACTGATTTTGAAATGCAACGACTCCAAATTTAGGACCTCTGCACTAGTACACAATATCACACTTGGTGGACCCTCGTTGACGTCTCCCTAAACTTGCGATATTTTGGATGGCCCTTTATTTATTTTACTTACATTCGGATTAGTATATACATATTGTGAAGTCATTATTTATTTGAATTCGGTCATTAACCAATGTTCACTGTTCACCTTTATTGACAGTATTTTGAACTATTTCATTTTCATTATCATACAGATACTTGAAATAATTTAAAGACAGAAATTGTATCTTATTATAATTGTTGCGAATAATCTATAATAAAATTACATGAGATGTATAATGTATTTGGTTTTATTTTTACCCATGAATTTTCTTTTAAAGTGGTAATTAGCTGACGGCTTTCCGGACGGTAAGTGGTAACTTTCGGACATTTAAGAAGAACAGTATCACGAATATCATGTGATAATGTTTCGTGAAGCTCGTGATACCAATTATTCGTTACCATTCCAGAAAACTAAAATGCCATGCCCTTTACCTTTAACCTTTTACCCTTCAACAGAAACAACTTATAAATGGCTGTCCTCAACCATGTGTTTTACCAGACACCATACCACCTACGACGACTTTGTGGAATCAATGGTATTTACGAATCGATACAATATTGAAACTTCCAAGAATAGAACTTATTCCGTCTTAAAAGGCCGGCAACGCACTTGCAATCCTATTATTGCGAGTGCTAATGGCCGGTGCTTAACGTACTGTAAGGTCAGCCGCAAGCTCTTTTTTCCCTTATGCTATAATAAAAAAAGGCTTAAGTACGACTATACAAAGTGCTCGACGTGGCTGATGAAGGATAAAACAAAGTGTGCGTAGATATTCACATAGTGTACATGGACATGGACCGAATATCATGAGGCGTGGGGAAGGGGATTGTTGGTAATGTGGACTAATGACCCCATTACTAGCAAAATAACATGTAGGTTGACCTCTACGCGGTTCCCCCTGGAAACCATCGTAATAAATTTGTGGTGAATTTGTCACGATGGGCTAACTGATATGACCTCGTGTTCATCTTATCATCCTCTACGAGTGCCGCGTAAACCGTTAGCGTAGGCGGGTGCACCATTGCATTATCATTCATAAAAAAACAGAGATAGTATGACTATGAAGTCAGTTTAGTTCATGATGGCAAGTACGGCAAAAATCTGTGTGTTCGACTTCACAGTTTATTACTAGCATTAGGGTCAATGGCGCCCATTACTAAAATCCCCTTCCGCTATTTAGTTACTAATTCATTAGGAAATTATCACGAAGGTTTCCGGAGGCAACCGCGTGGAGGTCAATATACATTGCTAGCAATGCGGTTTTTTTATATTATAAAATTATGTAATCCACCTGCTTGCCCTGACGGTTTATGCTGGCGGGGCATCAGTGGAGGATAATAAGATGAGCATGAGGTCAGGTATAACATAATTATAGCCCATATTGACAAATTCTCCAAGAATTTATCATGATGGTTTCCAGGGGGACCGCGTGGAGGTCAACCTGACATGGGTAAATTGCTAGCAATGGGGTCAACAGTCTATATTACTTATAAACCCCTCCACCCCGCTAACAATGGGGATTTATGGATGATAATGGAATGGTACACCCGCCTGCGCTAACGGTTTACGCTGGCTGAGGATGAGTTGGTCAGATGAGTCGTCAGCCCACAGTGGTAAATTCGCCAGAAATATACCACGATGGTTTCCAGGGGGAACCGCGTGGAGGTCAACCTGACATGGTACATTTCTAGCATTGGGTAACCCCGTTAATCCACATTACTAACAATCCCCTTCCCACTTAGCAATGGGATCAACAGTTCACATTACTGACAATCCCCTTGCCCCTTTATTAAGTTAATTACTAGTATTTAGGTCAAAGCTGATTCTCTTGGGATAGACTGACACGCTTAAAATAAACTCGTTTGGCCTAGGAAAAACTAGTTTTACCTGAAATAGACGGTAACATAGGTATATAAAATAATATAAAAATTGTTTTCGAATGGCTTCGCTCATGTGCATAAAATCGAAGGGCAATGTAAATTGATCGCCTTGTATACAATTCTGTGTAATATAATAGTATATACAATTTCGTGTTTACTGTTTACAAAACGGAGTTCTCTAAATAGGCTGTAGTATACATTAAAAGACACGTACACATTTGCCCTCTACATACAAGTTGCCCTTCTGCTATAGATGTTTGATAAATATAACTAATCTGTGGATCAGTGTGACCATGTGGTAGTTTCATGCAATTTTGACTAAAGTAGCTCCTTATTTTAACATTTGTATTTAATTTTCACAAATCTGACAGTATTTGCATAATGATTTTTATATTAATTTTGACGGCCTCGGTGTACTAAAGGTTCAGCACATTGCTTTACTTCCTATAGTCTCGGGTTTGATACTTATACGCACGGTGCAAACATTTTTATTCATGAGTATGATTGTTTCTATTTGTATGGGAATTTTCTAGGTATAGATATAAGTTTATTACGTATGTATTTACAGAAAAATGTATCTAAGTGTTTATATCGGTTAACTTAATACCCTTAACCCTGGCTGCTTTGGTTCAACATAAGAATAAGTCGTTAGCTGTGTTCAAAATATATAAATAAATAAAATAGCTCATTATTTGCGCCCAGAATAGAGCTCAATAAGTCAGAATACTTTTTAAAGTTTAATCATATTGTGGATAAAATAGACTCTAAATACAATACTTTTTGAAAATATGGCACCATTTGTAATTTCAGACTGGTCACACTAATCTGTATTAATATTTTTTTTCCCTCATTCGCATTGCAATTCGCAAGTACTCTGTGATTCTTAAAATTATATTTATCTATTCACTCAAGAAAAAAAAAATATTTTTCTAAAAATCATTTTGATATTGTAAACTGATAAGATTAATGTTTGGTAAAGTCCATTGCATTAGTTTTGTAACAAATTGTGTATTTCATTAGTAATAAGATCAAAATGTCATATGTTTTTAAAATATATCAATGGCCGTGTTCACCGTATATCAATAAAATGTGTTTTCCTGTTCAGAAATTATAAACTGTTATGTATCAATACAAAAACGTGATCATGGACACCTTTCACTGGCGAAAATGGTTTCTTTTATTACTATTCGCGGTATATCGGAGATTGGACGCAGTTGATGGTATGTTGTCGCCCAAATATTTAGACATCGCATGCATATTTCAGGCATCCCACGTATCACATATATTATCATATATAAATAGACGCACAGTTGTTAGTGAAAAAATACATTACACACTTGAGTACTGGTTATTAGTTAATGTGTACAGTAGAGCGGGTATAGCACGCGTCACCACGGTGGTCGGTCAAACTAAAGAGGATAATAAAAGCACAGAATTTCTATTTAAAGTTTCTGACGTTTCTGAAGGCCATATCCTTCGTCTATAGACTCGTGAAACGTGCGCCGTGGTACAAGATTTATCTCGTGAATTTTACTCTATTGGTGAAACAGTGCTCAGTAGTTGACAAGACAGTCAAGAGCTAACTGTGTGCCAACATGAAACTGCTTTTCACCAAAGGTAAGGCAGTAAATTTTAAACATATCCAAAATAAATATGCACTAATTATTATTACAATAATTATCATTGCTAGTATCTTTGTAAAATACAGAGCCCACCTAAATAAATATACAAGTTTTTATTTATTTTGGATGGATTTTTCTTTTATTACATTTGTTATAATACATTTTACTTATGGATTATTTGTTTAACAGTGTAATAACAAATTCCTTCAGACTTGCTTTTGTTAGCTTGCCCTTGTAATTAGAACTTACTCAAATTATTGGAACGCTGTATGCAAATGTTGGTGTGTTTTGTTCTTCCTCTTCCTTTTGCTGAATTTCTATGACTGATATAATAGAATTCTAAAATAATAACTATGTCTGTTTGAGACAATAGAGTTGATAGGAATTATAATTATTTTCCTGTAGCCGGTATATTCATTTTCTTGTTCATCAACAGTAATGTTCAAGCATTAAGATTCAAATAAACCACTTAAATAAAAAGTAATCATCACTATTCAAAATAGTGATGATTACTTTTTATTTAAGTGGTCACATTATTGGCAGTTCATTGGCCTGATTATAACAACCTTCACTTCATACTGTATGGATAATTTCTTTAGCGAATATCCTCATTAGAAATCCCTCCATATGGTTAAATGCTGTATTGCTCTACTATGCAGAACATTTTATATGTACATATATTTATCAATATATAGCATTAAAAGTTTTAGTATTCAGAAAACTAAGGAGACATTTTTACTTCAAGTGTGAATGATGGTTTCAACATCATTATATATAATGGGCTATATTACATTCAGTAAAGTGTTTTAATGGTTTATATAGTGGATGAAATGGAGCACTCATCTGCTCTAACAGTATAAGCTGGTGAAGCATCACTAGACGATGATAGGATTAAGTTGGAAATCAGATCAGTCAGCTTATTCTGGTGAATACACTAGGAATTATTCATGATGGTTCCCTATAGGGACTGCTAAGAGGTTGATGTAATATGGTACATTATTAACAATGGGTCTTATTTTTGTGATTGTGGATGGAGATTTAAAGATTAGTTATTATTTGTTTTTATTGTTTCAGGTCTTAAATGCTATTGCAATAGCCCATCGTGTCCAAACGAGACATGTGAAACAGATGGCTACTGCTTTGCATCCACAAGCATCGAGGGTGGAGTACAGAAGTTCACCTACCAGTGAGTAGTTTGCAGTTTATATTATCACTTTAGCCTAATGCTGGATATGGCAGTCACAGTTAATGTGGGTGTAATATTAGCATTCAGTGGAATCATTTAACATCTAAGCAATCAATATATTTTCAAAATTGAAACTGAAACATATAATGAGAGGTACATATTACTATTTAATCGGTATAATTATTGTAAAATGATATTATTAGCAAGCTATAGATATTGCTATAGTTAGTAAATTTGTTTGAAAATACTAGAAAAATTGATTGGCAATTGAGATTAAGGTAAAAAAAAAGATTAGCAAACTCATATCTGCTTATGTAAGACTTAAAATTGTCCTACAACGTTAATATATTTTTTGTAAACCACTTGGCCTGTGTAGAGAGGTGGAATTAAGATGTATGAGCTTGAAAACAGCCTTCCCTCCTGAATATCCAATAAAATGCAAAAGTTCAGCAAACTATTGCTGTCAATATGATTTCTGCAATTCCAATGACATTGTAAGAGAAAGTTTGTCCAAAGTGCTACAAGCCACTGCCATGGGTAAGATGTCTTACGCACTTGTGAGCGTGTGATACCTACTTGACAATGCAGATTTTGAGTTTGTTTGATGTATTATTAGAGACATAATATTGCATTACTATTTCCTATAAGTTTTGTGTTGAAATGCCAATACTCTAACAATATTGCTTCTGAATTAGTGATTTGAATATGTACCAACCTAGCTGCTGAGAGCCGAGAGATCGCTGCCGGACTCTGTCCGGACGGCACTATATTAGTATGTTTGAATGATGTGCCGTACCTTAACAAACACTATTATCCGCGTGTGCGTTGGTTTTGCTTTAACCTACTAAACATAATATGGTGGTTCCACTTGCGGCGCAGCTGTATCGACCTCAGATCACTGATACCCATCGAGCATCCCTTCAGTTGCTCCACGACGAGAACTAGAAATGATTCAGTGGTGATCGAATGTTGTAAGTCACGTGACATGTGCAATCGAGAGTTGCGCCTGGAGCTACATCCGAAGCCGCAAGGTAGGAGCGACGCGGAGTTAGACCCTCGTTGTGCCGCTAACTATGCACTGTAGCTTGCTACCACTCTGCGCCCAGTAATACCGATCTCAAGCCACGCTGCGTGCAAGCATTGGCGCCGATAGAGCTTGGTATTTGGTGCGAGACTGCATGGCTATAATGATTTTCAGTTTTTTCTTTTGTTCTAATACCACTAAGTTTCCTACCTTGTATACCGGCATTGATCACGCGTAGGTCGAGAAGTACATGCACTAATGTAACGATTTGTGGATGTAGATGTTGGAACCGGAGTCGGTCATTCCCTCCAGGCGACAGGCCTATATGGTGTCGCGAGGGCGAAAACCCTGACATGAGTTGCTGCTATAAGGACTTCTGTAACCGTTACATCTTCCCAGGTACGGAACGCGACAGGGATGTGTCGTCGGGGCGAATTATCTGGGTCGCTTATATTGTGATGTCCACATGAGCGTATGAGCGTACTGTAGCGTCCCGCTATTTTCTATCATACCCACGGTGTTCTAACAAGGATATGTTTATATGCCATTAGAAAGTTCACATTGCGGAAATTTGCATGTGAATGTGTAAAATCACGTCGGGACATTAGAATCGCATATACCATCGGTTTACATCCTATTATGCACCTAATCTATAATAATCTTAAATAAGGAAATGATTAACTCTTTACAGATATTTACGAAATGACGGGAATATATTTCATGGCATGTATGGGTGGTTTCTAATGAAGCAAATGTTCTGGTAATTATCAACAGTTTGTGATTGGATAGGAAGATATTATGAGTTACTATTTAGGAATGCCGAACTACCATTATTAATTATAAGGGGGAAACAAATAAGTGATCATGAGCCGGTACTTTTACATTAACTTGCATGAATTTATAATAATTTGACACCTAATCTAGCTTGAATAATTTTTTTTATTATAATTTTAAAATAACTCGATGTGATTATTTAACATTGGTTATGGGAATACAATTAACAATTTAATAGCCTAAATAAAATAATATCGGAGTGGGCTAATCAATCTACACGCTATTAATCTATTAATATAAAAAAGTAACAATTAAATTTACTTTTATCTTCTAGAATATACAATAATTACATATACTTGACAGTGTAATGAATTCCTAAAGGACATGCTGCGAAATCGTATTTATTTCATTAATTAAATTTTATTTTGTTTTTTATGTTCGTAAGTGGAAATGTTTTGCATCTGTGTGTGAATCGTGTTTGTGTTTAATATTAGCGAATGCTGTAGCAGTGATAAACGAATCTGTAGACGATACGTTTGCATTTATCACCCTATTACTGCCGAAAAAGCATAATGTACATGTTTGTAGCAAGTTCTGCGTAATCACGTATTAATGTTGTAACCAGTTTCAAACGACTGCACAACATGTTCATAAGCACATCCCGTATTATTAGATGTCATCGCTTTGGTCCGTCTCATTACTATTATTGGCATTACAATGTGTATTATAATATTTTTTTCGCATGCATATATATATATATATATATTGACTTTGGTGTTTATGTTTGAAAATATTTAAATAATCAATTAATAAATTGTTAAAACCTTGTTGCTGTGCAATTTTAATTAAATTATTTATACATTCTGCATATTGTCTGCACACAATATTTAGTTACTTGTCATATAATCGTAATTGTTAATCACAGTTACAAAGTTATTTTCTATATATATTCAACTTTTTTAAAGGTTATTTTTGTACCTATATTCAAATATTATCTTAATAACGCAATATAAATGTAAATTGTATTTTGTGCAGGTGCATATCACGAATTAATTATAAATCCTAAAATATTGAGTATGTATATTGGTGGAATACTAATTTTATAGTTTTGTGGGGGTCTCTAACGATTTTTTTATTTATATAACCAGTAACGACTTAACGAATTGAATTTGTCTTATTTTATTTTTTTATAGTATGTGAAAACTCTGTCTCGTCTGTGGTAACACACTTATGTAAAACATAACTGTACTGCTAAGACGCGGATAGAAGAATATAAACAAAATATAAATTTGAATAAAGAACTATTTTTTGTTTCAAAATTAGATTTTTTTAACACTGTGTAATTTGATGTTATAACATATTAATATTATGGGCTAAAGAATCGAGTCCCACTGCCAAAGTATGGCAAGTATTACCATGGGTGATGGGATTGATGGCGCTGACTGTTTGCGTCGCCACAAGTCTCTGGTGGGCGAAGCGGTCTCGCAGTCTGATGAAAGGAGGTCGTGGCTCCAGGCCATTGTTCGCAGCTGAAGATTCCTTGGGGGAACCTAGACACCCTATCATGGGTACCGCAACTATACGTGATATGATTGAGCTCACCACATCAGGATCTGGATCAGGTGAGTTCGCAATTTAATTCAACTGTATTTCTGAGCTATCGTCAGTTCTGACCTGATGTTGATTAGACTTTCTGCAAGGGTTTAATCTAATACAGTTTGATGTAATATTATCCACAATTGTGTTCGTCTTTTTTTGTGCGGGCCTTTTCGCAAGGACACTAATGTATGGAAGCTACATACGCACTGCGGACTAATAATCGCGAGACAGTAATCTCAATTTATCTATGCGTAAGTCTACGGAATAAAATACGTAAAAATAACGAAGTTTTCCTATGTTTATTAACCCGTACAATATATTGTTAAAAAATAAGACCTATTTTACCACCGAACAACTTCCGTTCTTTGTCATCTAAAATATGTATATATCAGATTTGTAGGCAAACTTGTTTATCATTCGAAATCGTAAAAACAATAAAAAAGATTTTAATAAACTAGATCTATTAATGTATATCATAGAATGTAAAGGTCGAAAGTTCAACAGCGTCCTTCAAATAAAAAAATACGTGTGGATTTATATTTCTTACTTTCCTATATAGTTATATAGATATCTGACTAATGTAAACACAGATAACACGTCAAATTAATACGAGAGACGGCGGCAGGTATATATATACACCAGCCACGTTGTATTTCACATATTCTCACGGAAATTTCGGCATAATTTGTGGGTGTAGTGTCTCAATACCTCTGGCTATGCACTGCAGAATTGAAATCGAAATAATATATCAAAGTATCTGCATGTGCACCGATTTCATCTTATTCCCTTTGCTGGTCAATTAACGAGGTTAAGCAACGTTAAGTGGGTCCATCCTTCACATTGGCAACTACTGTGCTTTTTAGTTTAGGTTTGAATGTGATGGGCATGAATGATCGTAGCATTTTATATTACATACATACATACGATATATATTGTCTAAAGTAATAGTAAACAGAATTAAGATTAGATCTTGTTTTTATGACTGATTCTATTGCTATTTAATGTCTCCAATAGATATTTGTTCAAGAAATGAGGTCATTCTCGTCCTATGAATATTTTACATAATATGGTGTTTATATATTATTAATATATTCCAAATTTACGTTATATACATTTGTCTATAACTATTTAGTTATAATAATTGTGTTAATATTTTTTATTTTCACATATACATTAATTTATTTAGTTAAGTACTTATAGATTTATATTTCTTTATTACAATAGAATTTCATTTCTCTTGTCAGTACACAAACTAGGTCAGATCTGTATCTTAGGGGCTGTGAGCTCGGATACCAAAAAGATGTAGTATGTGTAATATTACACGGTTAACAATTTTTATGCATGCTTATGTATGTAATTTTATACTATATATATTCTAATACAATAACTAATTATTCAATAAGTATTACTGTTGGATGTATATCTTATATATAAAATTCTCATAACACAATGTTAGTTACTATACTCCTCCGAAACGGTTTAACCGATTTTTATGAAATTTTATATGCATATTCAGTAGGTCTGATGCCTGTGGAGATACAAATTTAGCATTTAACAATGGTTTCAGTATCGTTATAGTTTCAGACTTAGTAACCAAGATTAACTTACAACTTAATAACAACTTAACCAAGCAAGAACTTAAGACTTGAGAACGTCGTTTTAATGCATGGAACACGAACTTTATGTATTCGCTTTTTTAGTAGTTCTTGATGTTCAGGTTGACATGTGAACTTTCTTTGACACATCTTAAATACTTGCATAATATGCAGCTGTCGAACAGTTAAAATTGTAGGATAAAGATCTGGTTTTCTGTAATAATTTTAAGCATTATTTTCTATTATTCAATTTTTAGCATTAAGTCTGCCTTTTTTTAATAAACTTTATTAGGGAAACAAAGTTATTAATTATAATTATTAACATAAACTATAAAAGACCTTAGGCTTTTTCATTCATTTTCGATTCCGCTATAGTGGACTGTATTTGTTTATTCTAAATTATATTTAGATTTTTTCCCTGCAATAAATTCACTTGTGCGATGCCTAAGGACTGGCTAATATGGATATACCTACATGAATAGTTCCTGAAATCTATCATCACGGAAATGAGATGATAATCCTAACACTATTATGCAAATCGATTTATATAAAATAGGCCACCGTGTAACAGACAGGAGAGACTACGCCAGTGCACCTGTCACAGCGTGTCCCATGCAGATCGGGATTATAATATGTAGGTGTGCGTCAGGTTTTCCATTTACACGTCGCTTACACATTCAGGTCAGACGCGAATGTCCCCATTCTGTATAAAGAGGTTGCATTTACATAAAACCTACTTTGATGTTTACTCAGTTAATTTTTGTTATACCTGGTAACATTGTTTAATTAGAATGACTTTTAATATGTTACTAATCCTCACTTATGTACCAAGATATTACGGACGAAGTTGCGGATAGAAGCTAATAATGTTAGGGTGTTGTTTACATATAATTGTCTATGGATAACAGTTCTAATCTCCCCGAATAGATATGTTTACCGATTGTGAAACGCAATTGAATTAAGTAGATATAGTGCATTATATAGATAGATAGAGACTGTATATTGTTATTATATGATATGATATTAATGTACCTAATATAGAGTCATAGGCGCATTTAGATTTTGGGCCAAATCAGATTTATTAGACTGGGCAGCAATTTTTTCATAAGTTTATGCATAATTTTCAGGGAGGTGACCTCCCTTGCTCCTCATCCTCTCCCTCGATAGCGGTATGTTCATGATTACAGTTCCAAAGGGCTACTATGAAAATTAGACAGAACAAGAACAACAAATAGATCGATTAGGGCAAACAATCGACACTCTTATCGATAAAACTGATATCTTCCGATAGCATAAATTTAAAGGATATTATCATTCATCATCATGCAGCTGTTCGTTCGTTTATAACTCCAGGTCGAGTTTTCAAATTAGAACCCTCTTGCTTAGAGAATAGACATGTTATTTCAAAGTTTGCGAGTTCGCTTATTATGACAATAGTATTAAATCTATTGAAACAATTGATAGCATTCGTTTAGAAATGGAGCACATTGATTGACGGACGAACGGAGAAGCGTACAATGTTGCACCATTGGGTTTATTTTAGCTTTTTAGTTTGGAAACCTAATAAACTGCTTCCTAACGCAAAGTCTGAATATCATTACGTTATTCTAACTTGATCGTAACTTTCAATAGTGCGTAATTTTCTTCTTACGTGTTTGCAATACTTTGATTATATACTGTGGAATAAGATTGGCATGGTCTATAATATAGCACAATTGGCATAGTTATAGCAAATAGGATACACAATTGCGGTATCTAATACTATTTATGGCGTTGATAAGTATCAAGATGAAAGTCAGACACGGCCGGCCAACTGAACAATTACTTAGCTCAGAAACATAGTAGATGTCTTTTCAATACTTGTATTACAATTTTGAAGGTTTTAAGAATATGTTTGGATTTATGTAATATAAAATTGTTTGAATGGATTTGGTACACAGGTTTATCATAGATTAACAGAAGATATTATATAAACTCGCATGATTTTACTAGTATGTAAATAATTCTTAATCTTTCATACTAAATTCATTGTTTGTACGAAGACAGAAAAGATAATATAGACATTACAGAAAATATATTCATATTTATGCGGGCGTCCTTGGGGAAAGTTGTTCTGTTCAGTTTCATGAATACTGGAATACATTATACTGTTACTGGGTTATCAGTAGGCGGAGCGGGAATAAATATGGCGATCTTTTCCATTTAGGGTTGCCACTGCTCGTACAACGGTCAATAGCAAGACAAATTCAACTGGTCGATATAATTGGGAAGGGACGTTTCGGCGAAGTATGGCGGGGACGCTGGCGTGGTGAGAATGTGGCCGTCAAGATATTCTCGTCAAGGGAGGAGTGCTCGTGGTTTCGCGAGGCCGAGATCTACCAGACCGTGATGCTGCGCCATGAAAACATTTTAGGGTTTATAGCTGCTGATAATAAAGGTACTTTGCCCGGGAGTGTTTACAGTTGTACAGGTTATAACGGGATTTTTACCGTGATAGTGTCTCGACTGGAGATGGCAGTAGATGAAAATAATTATTACGAACATTTAATATTTCTATCTATCCATTTTTAGTACCGTTAGTAGTTTTTAACGACAGAACAAATTTCTGCACCACTTTGATTTTTTGGACTATAGCTTTTACCGGAGTAAATAGTCCTTTTACATAGGTCCTTAATCCTAGTCCTTAATTAATAATATAATATTTCTTCAAAGTAATATTTCTTCTCAGAATCACAGAGAAATGATAACTTAAACTACTTTTGTCTATTATGGAATGAATCTACTGCCATTCCTCATACGTTAGTATTCTCGAAGACTGAGATGTCATCAATCAATCAATCATCAACTTCGACCCAGTAATTTTACTGCCAATTCTAAATCTTCAAAAGAAACAGCTTACAAAGCAAGGCTTGGCGGCAGAAATAGATGAAATGCCCCGGCATTTTACTTTAGTTTTAATAATGGTATTTATTATATTGGCTTCTCTATATTAAATATTAATAAGGCTTTTATGATCATAAGGAATTCCTATTTTATCACAGACAATGGCACATGGACGCAACTGTGGCTTATAACTGATTACCACGAGAACGGTTCGCTGTTTGACTACCTCACCGCTCGGACCATAGACTCGAACACTTTAGTCAAGATGGCGCTCTCAATTGCTACCGGACTCGCTCATCTGCATATGGACATCGTGGGGACCAAGGGTGAGGCCTGAACTTTTTTATATTTATGAAAATTCACATGGTAGGTACTCACGGCTAGTATTAATATTTTCTATATTGTGACATCTACGACACTATCCACAATATCTGAGGTAGAATATATGCTTTATGGGAATAGTTAAAAACTCAATTTATAATGTTACATTATATATTGAGTTTTTACTTGTTATGATAAGCTCCGTTAAACTCGATCACTCGTTAGCCACTATTGTAATGAATTCTCAGACAGGTGAGAAATGGTACACAATTATCGAAGATCTCAAGATTGGATTTAGTAATTTTTTTAAATGCATATTCTACAATTTAAATAAAGTACATTCAGTGAATAATATTTCAAAGTCGAACCGTATTTCCAAAACTGGAGAATTCAGATTTAGATTTATAAACTGTTGAAATGATTGGACTTATTTGAAGTTTTCAATTATCAGGTAAACCGGCCATAGCTCATCGGGATCTTAAGTCCAAGAACATCCTCGTGAAGTCCAACCTGACGTGCGTGATTGGTGATCTAGGTCTGGCCGTGCGGCATAACGTTGCCAGTGATTCAGTGGACGTGCCTTCTACGAATCGAGTTGGTACGAAGCGGTATATGGCCCCAGAGGTTGGTTATTCATACTATATTATATTTATTATATTATACTTATACTATACAGATCGCCATTTCATACTTCAGATACTAGCACCGTTCTTTTAATCCGTTGCGGCGAAGCCGGCTACATCATTTGTGTAGCCTTGCCACCTCAAATTGGTTTTTGCTTATAATATCTCTTTAGTAGCCGGCTGAAATAGTAGGACGGGGATGAGTCGCTCGCCGGCCTGACTTTGATCGCCGCCCTGTCGGGAATGACGTGCTTATACTATACCTACAGATTAATACTTAATAGTTTAGGGCTGGGCGGATCCAGTTGGAAAGCCGCGCGGATTATAGACATTTACATACAAATCAAGTTAGAGATGTTTTTGTATTTCTAGTAGTGTTATATAGATCGAATGAAATAAACTACTTTGTTCTACCCAACACGTGCATTACACTGTCACGTGCGTACAGCATCAGCTTGTAAGTAGCATTAGAAATGTTATCCTTTTTTTATTTTTTATTATTATATATTGACTGGAGTTGAAGAAATTGGACATTAAAACGTCTTATAACTTTTTAATGGCCAATTTCTTATTATTATGTGTGAAATATAAATAACAAAAATATATAAAATATACGTGTATTTCTTTATCTACAGACCGTACACTACTGCAAACGTAAAAACTTCTTTAAGTTGGTTCAACTGTAGCGTGCTAACTGGTGATTTAGTTTCAAATACAACTGATCGTGCGCCAAGTATAGGCGTCTCTTCACCCGTAACAAATAGCGCGGACGTTGCGCCTCAAATTCAACTCATTGAACTTAAAAATCTTGCCGACAAACGGGCAAAGAAGAATATCTGCCACTTGTATTGGAAACAGCTTTGTTTACCAGCCCTGAATTATTCCTACATGAATATTAAATTATGCGTCAGCTTCCTAAGAATAAGTAATAATGATAAACAAATTGACAAATTAACGTGACGTGTCTAAATAAACAGAATTAATATTATTGTCTTAAAATAAGAAATTTTCCGGAGCAATATAAATACAGTTTTTTTCGAAACATATATTTTGAGTTGCTGTACTATTGGTATTATTATTTATGTACTACTTATTCATATATTATAAAGAGACAGTATGAATTGTAAGTTTGTTTGTATATGGAGAATCTATTGTACCTAATTAAAAAAATACATCGTTAGTATAATATGTATTTTAGATTAGTTATTTTAAAAGAATAACTATACTAAGGGTAAGTTAAGTTTGAAATAGAAATAATAGAAATAGGTTGCGACTACAGAATCTTATCTTTTCATCACTTGAACTTACGAATGCATCGGTAGAATAAAATATAGAAATATTTATAAGTTGGCTATTTCTGTGCTCTGAAATGTATAAATATAACAGGTATTAGACGAAACGATGGACACACGACAATTTGATCCGTACAAACGGTCGGATGTGTACTCGTTCGGGCTGGTGCTCTGGGAGATAGCGAGGCGGTGTGGGACCATGCCTGATGAATACCAGCCTCCGTACTATGATAGCGTTCCGCCCGACCCCGCCCTCGAAGATATGCGAAGGGTCGTCTGCATGGAGAAGAGGAGGCCGAACGTCCCCAATAGATGGCACTCCGACCCCGTAAGTAGATCCTTTTTTTATAGAATAGAATACATTTATAATAATAATCTCAGGACATTTCCCACAATGCCATCTAGTCCCAAGTTAAGCTAGCTGAAGCTTGTGTCTAGTACCCATAACTGATACAAATACATAGATATAATTTTTCGTAAATACATACATATTATGCATAGAAAACACCCAAAGTAAGGCGTAAGGCGGTGTGCGAAAGCGCTCGACCACCGAGGCCTTCGAATAAAAATAAATACTGTGTGGAAATTAATTTGTAGTTGGTGTTACATACATACGTATCTATTTACAACTGATGACATTTAAGATTATATAACAAGTTGTTGAGGTATAATTTCAGTCTTAGGTCGTTTTCGTAGATACCTTTGTCTAACCTATTTAGGCATATCTCCAGAACAAGTTATGTAAAAGGGAAAATACATAATTTTCAAATATTGTCTAGAAAACTTACTTAAATATTATATATTTTTGTAAATAAGATAAATAATGTACATGGAGAATATGCAGATGTATTTAAACAATCCAACTCATAATACAATACATAAAATGTTTGTATCGTGTAAGGATTCGGGTTACTTAAGGGTGGCCAACGCGCACGTGGCACACCTGGTGTTTCAGACATCCATAGGCTACGGTATCCGTTTACCATCAGATGGGCCGTATGCTTGTTTGCCGACGTAACTAATCAGAAACCACTAGAAGATGGTGTACTCACTTTGTAGACTACGAAGTATGTTAATGTATTCTATTAGCCCTATATGAATAAGTTATTTTTAATTTTGAAATATATAGTATAGATATGATATAATGTGGTAGCGACTTAAGTACATCCAAAAAGTCGTTAGTACAAATCTACTGACTCAAAAAGGAACTTTGAGTATTAATTATATTGGCTGATTCTTATGTATAGAAAACACAAATATTTAAACAAAATTGAAAACTTAGAGACGACGGAAGACTTACCACGATCTATTCAAATATACACAACGAAATGTGGGCATGTCAAGTGTTCCGTTCACCACAACATCGACAGTTGACAATAGGTCTGATTACAATTCGGAATAATAGTCTTAATGGTATGTTGTTATGATATAATTGTCTTCACGGAGAGTATATACTTTTCTTAGGTGCTGTCAGCGATATCAAAAGTAATGAAGGAGTGTTGGTATCAGAATCCGGCCGCCAGATTGACAGCTTTACGCATTAAGAAGACCCTCGCTAACATAGGCACTGGAGATCACATCAAATTGTAATCATATTATTCCACCCCATCACTTAGCTGTCTCCATATGTAGGCAACCCTCAAGTACAGTCCACGAGAATATTTATATACAACGATGCTTACCATTAGTCGTTATATAACATTAGTAGGGCCTTCCTCTTAGAATCATATTGTCGCCAATCCAAGTTTTAGGTGTGTTCTTTTTAATAGTAATATATAATGTAGATAGTGTTGCCAATTTATATTATTTAAAGATAATGTTAACCAAAATAGTAACTTAAGAGCAATATATAAAGTTATACCCATATGTAATTGAGGAATTAAAGACTATTCATGGCCGTCTCTTTATTTACAATAAACAATAATGAAAGCATTACTGCAAGAACGAGGATATACACTCACTTGGTTTTACAATTTAGATGTTGTTTGATAACGATTGTATTTTAAAATTGTTGTAACGGTTGTCATATGTACAAGCGAGGATACTTGCAATATACTTAAAGTTATTGATAGAATGAAGTACTTACAATAAATTAGATTTAGTATATTTCATATAATAATTAGTGTTGTATAATAATGTGAATCAGCAAAAGAAGAGAAGCGACATTATGTTGTTTTATGCGGAACCTTTAAAAGTTTAGGCTTGTTATAGTCCGTACACGCGCCTGCAGATCAATAAACCGATGGGTGGTAACGTAATAATATTTTATTTTATATATTATAGAGAAACGCTAAAAAGTACATTACATTTTATTTATAAAAAAAAAGCAAAACGACAAATTATATTGAAGGTATGTGATTTTTTGTAAATAGGGCCTTGCCTCATTATTTCCGAACTAAATTCATTATTGCGGTAATGGACAAAACATAGAAATGTATAAAAAAATATTGGAATATTTTATATTTTTGTGAATAAGTACGTTATTTAATGAAAGGGGTATTATAGATTTTATATTGTATTATATTTTTGTGATAAGGAAGATTTTATAATATTAAACAATAATTAAAGTAGAAGTGTTAGAATCTGCTAGATGAATATAACCTGCTTGTATACATTTCGTATCAATAGTTACAATAGTTGTGAATCAATCTGTATAAGCAGACAGATAATTTTTATGATCTTTACCTATAAAAACTTTAATATATATAGAATAGGATTATAGTAATAAAAGTAAGTGACTTTGAGGTACCTGTCTGCCCCAAATGAGAAATCGCAAGTTTAAAAACATAGGTGGTGAAATATTAAAGAGAGCACACAGAGAATTTTATTACAATAATATTTATATGCATAGATTTTATGTACATACTATATTATATTTAGACAATTAGCAACTCTCCAATCAATTTCTTCGATTCTAATTAACTGATCAATACGTACCTTATTGATATATTTTTTTACAAATCACAAATAAAATATATTTTAATTTTATATTAACTAAGATCTGTGTTTCGTGTTGTTCTACTTTCGTTCGTATTGTTTCATTATTGTGGTGTGTGAAATATAATGAATATATTATATATTGACTAAACAAATTAATTGGTACTCTAAATATAGTAAATAGGCAATAAGTTTTTATAAACAAATATATTTAAAATAAACGAATATACTGCTTGTCATGTTGGCGCGTGTAATCGGACCTTATATTAGTTGTATAACTGGAGATTTTGCGATGCTACCTCATAAAAACTTATAGTATTTGTATTCCTGTATATTTATTACAGTAAGAAATATATATGATCATATCTGGATGAATCTATGTACCTATTGATTAACTTGATCAGTAAAAAGTTTTAAAATATTTATAGAAGTTAAGAATAATCTAAAATAGTTATGCCACTTTTTGTTTCTGTGTTGCATTTACAAACTGTAATAAATACATAGTCATGATTCTATTTAGGTGGTCATTTCAGTATTATACAATTGGAATATAATATGAAGTTTGTCACCATATAAATAAATTTTAGAATCTACCAATTTAAAATTGGCAACGTTAACCTTTCAGAGTTCTAGTTAATTATCTAAGAATGGGATCGATAATATATAATAAAGTATATTATAAAGAGAGATATAATAAATGCAGCGTAGAAATGAAATTTGAATTTTATCTTAAGCTATTGTAATACTTTTTACTGACATTGTAAATACGTTAATATTTCAAAAATTTATAAATTGATGATCTTATATATTTGTTAGTGATATACCCCATAATGGGGTATTATACAATACTTAGAAGCTCTATTGAAACATTTTACTTCCATTGAGCTATGTGATATGAGATGTGTTGAGAAATATATGAGGGAGCTTAGTGATGTGGGGTTGTGTAAACATGCATGTATGGAAAGTGGGCCGTGAGATCGTGCTGGAATTGAGTGCTGTACGTAGAACCCGGAACGAACCGGCCGCGTTGGGCCGAGTGGCCGAGTGTCCTGACCCTACCTCTTAGATTATATTCGTGTATTATCAAAAAAAAGGAGCATTTATTATATTATGGACTTACAAATTTAGTGATATTTTTTCGTTACCAACTACGTAGTTTTAACTTTTGTTAAGGATACAGTTTGTTTACGCATAAATAAATCAGATATATAGAACACGATCACTTCTTTTAATCTTACGTTTACTGTGATATGTAATGGTCACAGCTATAATACTGTTGTAAATTCGTGTACGGGCGCGAACCGTGTCGATAAGTCGGCCATTCCGTTTGTCTATACGAGGCTTGTTATATGATGTGTTGTTTTTTTCACAATAGAATGTTATACCAAATCTATAATATGTTATATATACAATACTAGTCTCGTTATGGAAATGTGGGAGTAAGTACTAATGGTGTCAAATGTGGTTGTATGAGGGAATTTATATTGGCGTTTTGCGAGTTTAGAATTGGTTATAAATGAAGGGAACACGAGAGGTGAGCTAGTGTGTTGTGTAAATGGACTATTGAAAGATTCTGTACCTTTGAAAATTGTTAATTATCTAATAAATTATCTCCATAAGATGCTTCAGTACTTTGTGTTGAAATTTTATAAAATTGTACAGAAAAATTTAGTTTTTAAAATGATTCTAAACTTTTATTTGTTTGTAATAGGAATGAGATAAAAAAGATTTAATACTTCAGTAAATTTTAGCTATTTTCATATTATTCAAATATTTATTAAATATTTGGAGTTTGTATATATTATAAAACGAAAAATAAATAATTTAACAACGTAATTCTTTACGTAATGATAAGCATGTAGAGTTGATACGACAGTGTAACATTTTATATGCATAGTGTTAAAATTCTATTATTTATTATGTTATATTTAGTAATAACCAGTGACGTAGAAATAAAATAATTGGGTGTAGGAACATCGATTACGTACAAAGTAGATTTCTTAATTTTCTCTAGCCTTAGCTGTAGTTTACACTTGTGTACTTTTGGTTTGCTATTTGAAATATTGACGTTATCAAAGTAATGTTGTTTAAAGTTTGAAAAGGAAGCAATAAATAAATAAATTTAAATAAATAAAGCAAAACCGTTGCATAGTATTGCCAATTAGTGGTCTGTAGTGATCGTATTTACGTTTAGTGATTTACAATTTAATTTTAATTTGCATGTCTTCCCATCCCAAATGGAAAATCAGACATGATACCTCTAAAATATCATCGAAATCTCTCCAACTATCAATCTGTACATGAAACCGCCCATTTACTTTCATATTTATCGCTACAATGTATTATTAATATTTATATGAACTCGCGACATAATTGACTTGTGATATGACACATGATATATTCTTTGGAAACAACGTGAATAGGTAGTAGATATTTGTTGATCATATTAATAACTCAACATTATAAGACTTTTCGTCGCTAATGTTTCTCACGTCAATCAGTACTTATCATTAAACGATATTGACGTCATTTTGTAAATCTCTCAACGTAATTGCGGTCACTAAAGATCACAGATCACAAAGGCAGTGATACATATAAGATACAATAAGCAAAGCAATGCCTTGAGATTAAATTGTTAATATAGGATTACATTAATTATTATTGATTCATTGTATAAACTTTATAAATATATAAATATAAATGATACAATGACAGCTATAGACTGATTTTAATTACCGTTAAATATCTCTGCTTCTACAATGATGTGTTGTATTATTGTTTCGTTGTTAGAATTATTTTATTTAAAAAAAAGATTGTGTGCACTCAGTGACCTGGTATTCGGTCAATTCAGACGGCATTTGTATTGTTAAAATGATTTTATTACAAACATGCGACCAATTTTGGAACTCAAAATGATTAAAGGGTGGAAAAAATTAAGCACATTTTTCATAGTGAGTATACTAAGAATATATTCTGTTTACATTTTCAATTAATGTTGATTGTAAACAAGTTAGATAATGTGTGAAATTTATTTTATCCCTTTGTAAATTAAAATGTTATGTTATGGTACTTTTACATGTGCTCATTAATTAACGCGAAACTGAATAACATGAACGTGTTTTGTTACTTTTTGTCATAGAATCGCTAGAGTGAATCCGTCAAAGAATTATATACATAGAATTATTATAATAATGTTAAGATTAAAATATTAAATAAGCTTCGTTTTAAGTCGTTGAAGACTTGGCTTATGAAGTTCTTGTTAATAGATGCTGTGCATCTGTCCGTGTCTCTATTGATGAGCATCTGTATTATTAGTACCGTGATGTACTTTTATCATCAGACTTGACTGCTATCATATATTTAACCATATTTTTTATAATTGAAAAATGTAATAGAAAGTGACGGGCGTAAAAAAATGTTACCAGTTTAAAGTTATTACTTTAATGAAATGCAATATTTTATAAATACATGTTTGGTTGTATAGTATACATACAGCGTAAGTTAACTACAGCATCTGAACTGATTGAGTACCCAGAACTGAGAGTGAAAAATTATATGTAGTTTGTGTGTGGTATATTAATTTCTTATTGGATCAATTATATACTTTTGTAAATTAGGTTCATTATAGTTTGTTTTTCGATACTTCACTTTAAATCAATATATTTTTTCCCCTGTTTGTTGAATTATTTACAGATTTTATTTCACCAGAAAATATTTATAGAAATATAAAATAGAATTTGAACATCCAGAAAATATATATTGTTAGTATATTAGTATTAAGGTAATTATAAATCGCTTATTACCATCTAAATAAGCAGAAGAGTGCAGGGCTCCCCGCATCATCAAATGGAATATAATCCATGAAAAGATACGGAATAAAATTACTGGCAAATTTGCACCTATTTGTCATACATAACATAGGTAATAGACACGTATATACCTATTGTAATTTTACTTGTGGGTAACGGGGTGACATTTAAACTCAGGTGCGAGTTCAAATTGATGGCATAAATTAGAAATGTACAAGCATCAAACTAATGGTTTGACAAGATTTGATGAGCAATACCGTGAGAGTACAATGCGTTTACTTAATTCTGCAATAAGCGTGAAATATACCGACGTCATATCACACTTCCTTCTATTACTACTAGTTTGATGATTTATTCCCAATATGAATCATTTTGTGTACATATATTATTTAATTATCCCATTATATAAGTTTTATTAATTGGTTATGGAGTGAACTAATTAATATTATAATAAAACAAAGTGTTTTTATATGTTGTTGTTTTATTTCATTTGTTCTATAGTTTAGGAAAGGTTAAACATATTATTTACCTATTAATTGGATCACAATTTTATTATTCATATTAATACATAGTAATCATTGAAATGAATTTGAGTTGGTGAAAAAATGGTTACCATCATCATATTATATACACAAAAAAAGAGTAGTATCTTTTTGAACTGAGGGATAGTAATTTAGAAATGCTTTTAAGTTGTATAGGACAAAATATATTGAAATAAATTATTAAATTATTAATAAATTAAACAACTAATTTTTAGTTTGGCATAAAAATCTACTGTTCTAAGGCCACTAAATCATTGGGAAAAGAAAGGGTAAATATATTATTCAAATATTTTCTTAAAATGTTCACGTTTTCATTAATTTAATAAATGTCCATTATTCATATTTTGATACCAATATAAAGAAAAACTATAATAGTAGATTATGAAACATAATATACTCAATGCATATGTATGACTAGGTTAGGTTATAGTTCAAAAAGATCACATTAACCGAAATGAGGATTTGAGGGTTTTAGAGTATAAAAGACTAGATTATTTTGTATGCATTTATTCAGTAGCTGAACACAAATTTATGCTTATTTAAGACTAAAAACTAGACTAACTAAAGGACGGAATAATTTGCCATTTTTCATAAAACTAAAAGTTGTTCATGATATGTTAATTAAAAAATGTCAATCAATAGTCAAAATATTAGAAATTCGAGATTACATAGCAGATCATTTGAAACAAATTTAATGTAGTCTTGTTAGCAGTATATAAAATTGTTAGTATTATTAGGTCTAGATATGAAATATACGAGATATAGATAGATAGATAGATAGATATATATATATATATATATATATATATATATATATATATATATATATATATATATATATAGTGGTGAATAGAAGACATGATCTGACATGATAAAGTATATAATTAAATATATTCTGGTCATCATGTCTAGTTTGACCTTACATGAAACAATAGTGGTTACACAAGCCACTACTGAAGTAAATGTCACAAACAGTGATAGTACCAGTTATAATGGTGAAAGTCATGAGGTAATTGTTGTTTAAATTCTGATATAAAGTTACTACATCTAGTATGGATTAAAAACCACTCCCCACTCTAATAAGAACTGTCATGTTAATTATCCAGCTTTTAGAAGCTGCTTTATTAAATTATGTATAATTATAAAATTTTAAACAAAGTATATAAAAAAACTCATAAATTCTCAATGCACAATAGGTATGGACGGAGACAGTAAAAAGTTGTCATTCAGTTTGTTACCAAAACATGGCAATATTTAGTCTTATTCTTTAAGTGCAGACTTTTAGAGTGATTAAGATAATGATCATACCTTTAATTATAATTAAACTACACTTAAGAACTAGAATATAAACTTAAAGTTATGCATAAGACACTTTCTGTTCATAAGCCACTTCCTCATTCCAGTATTCTTGCTCTGCATAAGCAGTGTGGCGTAGCTTACACAAATACCCAAATCTGAGTATTAATAAAATGACCAAGAGAACAAAAAGGGAAAGTACTGCTACAGCAGGGTACAACATGAGGAAGGCCATATTTAAATGTCACTCTCTCGTTTGTGCAGCTCTAAATATTCTTGCGATGTTGTCAAAGGCTGGTGGGATATGGACGGTGGGACTTCGGTCTCGTGGTACTCGCTTATGAATGGCTTAACATACTGTACAGATCTGTACTGTATATCCAATTCGGTCAAATCAAGTGGAGGTTGCTTATGAGGTGTTGTGGACCAAATGGACACAATCCAACGGTTTCCTGAAAAAATTTCATTAGGTTAGGTTATCTAATATTTTTCTCATAATAATGTCTTAAAGTACCATTCTATGTTATATATTGTTATGAGATATATTAAACATTTTTAAAACTGGATCCTATTCGGCTAACTAATATGAAAGTAAAGTAGTAATTAAACAACCGTTATTTATTAATTTTGCATTTTAACCAAATAGTAACAATGACTGACCTGTGTGCCTGTCTAGCCAGTACTCAGAGTATCTAGAACAACAGCATACTACGTTTAGGATGAGAAGGAATCCCAGTATCACGGAGCAAATAGCAATCGCAATATAAAACTTCGTAAAATCTCCAACGTGCGACACTATAGGATTTATAGCTTTGTATGTACCGTTCCCTGTAAATGAAGCGAGAGATTCAGTTCCCGACATTCTCTTATTACAAATGGACCTGCAGAAGAAAAAATTGAGTCAAGACTTTAAAGTATATGTTACAAAAATGTCAGTACAGAAGCCGCACCCATTTCTAAATACAACGCTGTTCACAAAATTAGGTCGTTCCGGGCGTGGTAAAAGATAATACAGCCTACAATATTATTAAACAACAATTAATTTTTTCACTTACCGGTTTACAAATGTATTAAAAGAATCTTTAATAAAGATTGATATACTTTGTATAATTATTCTAATTAAATATTAAATAGAAATAGAAGAAAAACAAAATAACGTTCAAATTAATGAATGATTGAATGAAAGAAAATTAAACAAATACCAGGAGCGTCGCTCTCCTCAGTCGCTCACATTCACAGTCATTCGTATTCTTTTCATTCAGATTATTTATGTACTTTTCACGTCAATGTCATATTTTAGTAGTCTGTGCTCATAGCCAGTATTACCATTGATCACTCAGATTGTGCCGTAGAGCATAATTCACGCATCCAAGAATGCGTAAATCTAATTAATTTTAATGTATAAAAAAAGATAACTTTATTGTACACTGCATAAGTAGTAATATAGTATTTATGCAGTGTATAATGAAGTTTCCTTATACAATTTATAAACTTGTAGAAATATATTTCATATTATTATAATTATAATAGTAGATAGTAGTCGTACCTACCTTTTAGAAGTAGTAGTATTATGTGCTTTAAATATACGACCCTATGAATAAATACATCAGCAGTTTCTGAAATATAACGGTTAGGTAGACAATTAAACGTTCAGTTTTGTAAAGTGGGAAAGAACAATCGATTTGTTTAATTATCAAATAAAATATTTTTCTTTTCATTCCGTACATGAGTATTAAGTCCTCCTTATTAGAAACCTTAACCTAAAAGAAACTGTATTTGGCTTGCTTTACTGCCAATATACGGTTTCTATATTTGTCGCGTTCAATAAACATTATTTTAAAGCAGTATTTTTAAACTACATATGTTCATTATTAGAAAATGTAAACAACTTGTTACAAAGAAAATAGTATAAAAGATTTTTACGTCTTTACAGAATTCACAATATACTTGAGATAACGCTTATGACATCTTTTTAAAAACAAAACAATAAATGAATTTCTTCCTACAGTTTCGAAGGTGAACACAACCACCGAATCTACAGAGAAGTAATTTAAAAAAGAGTCACCCTAAGACTCGCCGACAATTATATTATTCTCTCCTTATGAGGGCAAAACTGTATAAGGGAAAAATAAGCCGGTTAAATACATGCTTGACACAGACACAGTTAGGACACAGATTTCTTTATTATGGGATTTTTTGTTCAATACCTACATTTTGGGGAAATTATTCACAAAATTTGGGGTGAATTCCAGATAGTCCTTAGGCAACATTGCTGCGTGCGTCCTAAAGCAATTCGCAGTGGATGGGAAGCCGTAGACCAGTTCATACGGCTTTCCATCCACAATGCTATAAAATAACCATTATTGTACAATAATTTTCTTATCTAAGAAGATTATTTTTTATTTTGTATCTTTTTTAGATTATATTTGATTTTGTATCTTTTTTAGATTATTTATTTTATTTTGCTTCTTTTTTAGATTTTTATTTAATTTTGTATTTTTTAGAATATTTTTTTATTTAACGCGACACATTTCTGAAAATTGATATAAATTATAACCCCTCCCATTCAAATGGGGATCGATATTACAAAATGTGAGCGTCCTAAAGCATTTCGGAGTGGATGGAAAGGCGTAGATTAGTTTATAAATACAGCTTATTCCATACACATTGCAATAAAATAACCATTGTACCCATAGGTATAATTTTCTTACCTAAGAAAATTTATTTTATTATGTTCCTATTTTAAAGACTATTTATTTTATTTTGTAGTTTTAATTTCTGAAAATGGATAAGAAATATAACCCTTCCCATTCAAATGGGGATCGATATTAAAAACAAAATGCTGGCGTCCTACAGCACTTCGCAGTGATTGGAAAGGCATATATTAAGTCATACAGTTTTCCATCCACAATGCAATAAAATAACCATTCTACATTATTTTCTTACCTAAGAAGATTTATTTTATTTTGTCTTTATAAATTAGATAGAAAATGAATGTATAATTATATCTAACCCTACCCATTCTTATGGCGATCGATATTACAGACAAAAAGCTAGCGTCCTAAAGCAATTCGCTGTGGATGGAAAGGCGTACATTAAGTCATATAGTTTTGACGCTTTCCATTCACAATTTAATAAAATAACCATTGTATATTAGGTATTTTATTACCTATGAAGATTTATTTTATTTGGTTTTTATAAATTTCTGAAAATGGATATAACATTATAACCCTTCTCATTTAAATGGCGATCGATATTACAAACAAAGTGCTAGCGTCCTAAAGCAATTCGCAGTGGATGGAAAGGTGTAGAATAGTTTACAAAAACAGTTTTTCATCCACAATGCAAACGATTCTTTTAAGTAGACGCAGCGTTGTAGTAATGGTGTTGCTGGCAGCTTGTCTATCATTCTTTTTATAAACTTTATATTTTTATATCTATTTTTTATACGTCACTTTTGACTATACATATTGTTTTGTTACTTCTCGCTGTGAGCCCCTTTGGGAAGAATACACATTTTTACTAGTATTTGGTTTTTCTTAAAATAGTAGTTGTGTTCCCGCTCCAGTAACAAATGGTATACTGGCAGTGTACTTAGTGGGGGGTGATAAGATGAGGATGCCGTCAGCGCAGTAAGCCCACCTTTTGGTATAATTGTAAGTGGCTAATCACCACCACGAAAAAGTCACCACGAAAGTTTCCAGGGGAGACTCTGTGGAAGAGTCTCCCCTGGAAACTTTCGATGGTTGGAAACCAGTAATAGGGCCACTGGTTTTGGCGCCACCATTTCTACTAATCCTTCCGATTCCTACTGTCCGACCTTCCTCTGGAAATTATACTTTTCGAATAGATACGTAGATTAAAATTGGTAAGTATTCATTTTATTATATGGAAATAGTCATGATATTTTCTGTAATGAGATATCAACATACACTAGATATCTCTATATACCCTGGTACTGGCGACTGTTCTCTCATACCCTCAGGTAGGCCGTCAAATTATTTCAAATGCCAGTTATTTAGTTATATATACATAACAAATAAAACACAGTATATTTTTTCAATTCCATTTATTAATTAATCAGGTATTATAATTTATTTTAACGAATTAATAATAATAGGTAGATACTTAATTTTTAATTTGACACAGAATGAAACAATGTTCTTAGAAAATTTTACTTTAAAGTTTAGGACGTCGTAGATTAAAGGAAAAAGTCTTATATATCATGTAATTAAAGACGTCGAATCTGTAATTATATTTTTCAATAAAGTATGTTAATAATTGAGTTATATAGTATAGTACTTAATAACTGCTAACAGAATAAGGAATACTTGCACGATCTAATTAGTAACATTCAGTTACTTTTCTGTTATACTAGGCCCCGTAAAATAAAAATACAGAAAGTAATGAGGAAAATAAATAAGATATAGAGAATAAAAACAATAACACAACAAATATGCTAAATAGACAGCCAAGTTAAGATCCATTTTATTTTAATATTATGATTATGTTCATAGTAGAACACCAAAATTTTAACAATTTCACAATTCATGACACTAAGTATATATTTCTTCTATGTACATTATCTTCATTTTAATGTGAATTAAATGGACTTTTGCTCATTTTTTTCTTACGAGGCCTAATGAGAACTTCATAGTTCGACATAATAATCCTAATACATAAATTTGAAATAGGTATGTTATATAAAAATAGTAAAAATCAAAGTTATATACAATAGTTATTTACATAAATACAAAAACGAATCAGGAAACACATTAACGAAATTAAATAAATAAATGTCATATTTTAAGTCTTTAATTTTTTTTATTCACACCATAGTGAATATATTCAACTGTCAAACTCAACTTACCTGTAGTGAAGTTATACTTAGGTACATAGCAATATAACTAATTAATCTAATGCTGTAACAGTTAGCCTAAACTTTAAAATTATTGTTACAGATACTATTTTGACTACGCAATGTTTCAACCATTTAAGATATCTGGCCTTTGTCTTTACAAAAGCATTCTTGTTTTAGTTTAAATGTAGATATTTTATTAGCGATATACGTCTAATAAATTTACATTTTGATTCCATGGAGTAATTTTGTAATGAGAGTGAGTATTTGTTTACTGTTTGATTATTAGCACTAGTCTCTATAACATGTCATGAATATGACGACATATATAGTACATGCGATAGTTACATAGAAAAATATCGGACCATTAAAGGATATCTGTTATATATTAATATCCGTACATATAAATTGAATTACAAAATATAATTATAATTTATGTTATAAATATACATAAAAATGTGTGAGTGAAAACTTGCACCTAAATTATTTAAAAGAGCAACACGCAAGTGTCTTGCGCGTTCTTGTGATGATCTTTCCAAATAAGCGGTAGATTAGAAAAATATAAGTAATGAGTATTCAATAATGCTTCATTGTAGTTTATTTGAATAAATATATTTTTAAATTAAATATAAATTTAAAGTTTAGGCCGTTCTGGTTGAAATTATTGTACAGAGTAAGTGAGTTTGCTAATTAAATATTATATAATTAAAAATGCTATTTCATCAGCTGATCTAAATATTCAGTAGACCTCAATTGTTGCCAATATGAAAAGAAATATTAATTTAAAGTATACAATATTTGTATTTCAGTTTCTATAGTGTAAACTATAATATTAATTGGCATCAATAACTGAATGCTGTTACTTTTATCGAAATTATTTGTTATAATTACATTTAGGACAGATTCAAGAACTTACATCATATACCTAATTGAGATTCAAAATAACACAAAACTTCATGATATTTGACTAACTATATTAATTAACTATCTTTGTTGAATATCTGCTGTCGCCCTGCAAAAATAACAAGAAAATGTAAAATTTACAATTACAAATACTAGAATTTACAATAACTTTACATAATCGGATTAATTTACATTTAATTTAACTATTATTTTACATTTCCCGAATTCTGTTGTTATGTCCTGATTGTAATGTTGTCAGATTCCTATTTATTTTAATATAACCCGTATGTTATTAGGTATTCATTTAGGTAAATTAAAATAATTAATAATAACCTATTTAATTTTTATTTTGGTACAATTATGCTAAGGCATACAACATTCTTCTTGAATGTACGGTGGGAATGGGATGAGTTAATAGGAAGTTACATATATTTAGATGCTATTTTAATAGTTTTTGCTCATGTAGAAATGCCTTTTCTGACAAAGAATAACTTTCAATTCAAACCAAAATCTATATTACGACGTTTATATACCAGGTTTTAGACTACAAATAATAATAATAATATCTCCGGACAATTCACACAGCGCCATCTAGTCCCAAGCTAAGCAGAGCTTGTGTTATGGGTACTAGACAACTGATATAAATACATGGATACATTTTTTTTGTAAATAAATACATATCATACATAGAAAACACCCAGACCGGTACAAACAATCATACTTATGAATACAAATGTTTACACTGTGCGAGAAATCGAACCGATAAAAAAGCGGTGTGTTAAACCACTAGACCACCGAGGTCACCTGTCAAATAGGTGCAATAGTAATGAGAATGTTATGACAATTGTGTTGAATGTACTTTTTTGATATATTTTAAGTAAACAAATAGTTTAAATATAGAAGCTTTTATAAGATTTCAACTTACCCAGAGTTACATTCTTGTCCGGGCCAAGATTGATGCCCGTCGAGGGTTCTATTAACTGTAAACCAAAATGAATTACAAGTAGGTATTTATATAATTGTAACTTATGTTACAGTTCTCCCTCAGTAACACCTACTATAATTCTGGCAAGAGTGTAGCAACTCAGGTTTTATGCGGTATTTCTTTCGCAAAGCAATTTACTTCTACAATTTGGAAATGCTTTTAACATTATTAATTTATTATTTTCTATAAATTGTATATAAATATTAAAAATAATCAATAGGTATGTATAAAATAAGTCAATCGCCGGCTATTAATGTATCTATCTATTTATTTATATATTAGAAAAAGTGATTAGTGTGATGCACGAAACTGAAAAGTTTAGTACTTATAATATTTGTTTATAATGACGTAATCGTCATTTATCCATGGTACAAAGTATGTATATTATACGATCATCTGAAATACAGCACAATTTTAAAAATAGATATAAGGTAACTTACATAATTTTTTATCAGAGAGTCGGTTTCTTCGGCGCTGTCGAGTGATTGGTTTTCGTTTCGTTGTGGCAGAACGCACCAAGCTTTCGATGATTTCGTCATCAGCTGACATGTCACCACTGTAATGATTAATTACATTATTATGTATCATATCCGGTTGACCTCTACGCGGTTCCCCTTGGCATCCAAGTTGATAAATTTCTGATGAATTTGGCAGGATGGGCTACCTGACCTGACTTCATCTTGTCTCGGAAATCGTTAGCACAGGTCACATACCATTCCATTATCATCCATTAAAAAAATACCTCGATGGTCTTTAGAGGAGACCGCGTGGGGGTCGACATGCATGATATTTCGTTAACAATAGAAATAGTATTAACAATCTCTTGTTTCAACAGATTCCACAGGTAATTCTCTACTCTTTAAATGTTCCTTTTCTAAATACGGTTATTTTTAAAATTTCACATGGTAATAGTGTTAACGTATTTAAATAAATTTTAAAAATACTTACTTGACCATCATTCTCTTATTATTAGATGCTTTACGCCTGCTCTCTGTAAGGCTATCAGTATCAGGATCAGTCTTCAATAGTTCTTTCAATGCATTGTCTGCTGAGTGATCGCCGTTCTTATTTGAGTAGTTACCAACCTAAATAAGGAATATAACGTCAATATTTTTTAAATCAAGTTGAAGTTCTGTATGACTATAAAAATGCTTGAAATAGAACAATAAGTTATAAAAACTAAACAATAATTATACTGCATAGTAATGCATGTATACCTATATATATGTATATGTATACATGCAAACCTGTATAGTAATACAGGTTACAAAATCGGCAGAATTACATTTTTACTAATATCCTGTTTTTTTATCTTAATGATATCAATTGCTATTTGATACACAACAGCTATCAGTTCATCACTACTAATTCTAATTAAATTTAAATTTGAATGAACTTACATCAATTATCATTTTGCCTCTAGTCTTATTTCTCTCTCGGTGATTGGCTCTCTTCTCTAATTGTTGGAGCACTCTCTCTCTTGTTGTTCGGTACTCAAGAGCAAATTCCGCGATAATTTTCAGGAATTCCGACGGTTTTGTTTTCGGGATATCATGCGCTGGTACTCCTAAATAGAGAAGGAACTTTCCATATCTGCAACAAAGAAATCAGCATGTTGCTTCTCTGAAAACTATATGTTGTAAACAATTTCGCTAATAAATGCCGCTGAAATTCGCTAATCGCATAAAAAAGTTCAACTTACATGATTTGCTTAGCATTCGCTTTGCCACAATTCAACTGTATTATATTTTCTTTTAGTTACAATAATAACAATTGCAACAGATCATGCTAAAATTCTTTGTTTCTTTTAATTTAATCTTACATTTAAAACCTTAACGAATACTGATGTAATAACTTACAAGCTAATGTTAAAAGTACCTGTTCATGACTCTTTTTTTAATAACACTTAATAATATGATCCTCTCCGCTGCGTCTGTGAGGAATTCATTAATTTTCGTCTTGAATATTTGTGACCCGTCGTGTTTGGCGATACGTTTCATGTGATCCCAAGAAGCTTTGCAGTCTGCCTCTAATTTAAGAAGGTTTGTATGTAATATGTCGAAATCGACTTTCGAAACTCGTATTACTGCTCCAACCTGCAGATTAAAAAATGAGTGGTAAATTTACTTAGGATCAAAATTAATAAGAGCATTTTCTATTTCTCTAGCGTGTTTACATTTGATATAAGTATGGAAAAATATTCAGTTTATTTAAAGTTCGTATTTGTATTTTATTTTTATTGTATGTATATGTAGGGGCAACTTCATATGTCAGCTTACTGTGTATTGCCTATTTGCCGACACACGCAATTCAGATGAATTTTATTGCTATAAAAATGTATAATGAGGTCCATATACATTTCTCTAGCATAAAATTAGTGTTCAAGGAGTATTCAAGCCAGGCCGCTTTATTTAACGACACGTCCCATAATCAATCATTATTATACAATCACTATCACGGAACTGTGGCCTTGAACCTCCAGATATAATTTTTATCTGCAGATTAAAAAATATTTATAACATGTTGGAATATATCATTTGTATAAATTTTTTTTAAAATGGATTTGTGTTTAAAAGTTCAAATAATAACGAAGGGAAATGAACAGTGTTTGCTCTTCTTCCTATCCTACTATACTTAGCCGTATAAATCTACTCACCTCACTGAAAAAGTCTGTTGTGTCCTGAAATTTTTCGATAATCATTTCACAAATGTGGTACAACAGGGGATGTTTGTGTACCGTGTCTTTTACTTCCATTACTTTAGACAGATATTCAAGACGGAATCCCTTCACCTGACTGCCATTTAAGAACGATCCTACCGATCTTAGCGTCGACAATATTACTTTGAAAGTTCTGTTAGCTTTTAGTAATTCAATTCCATGCTTCAAGTCCATTAATGGTTCTGCTATTTCTTTCTGGAAATGGTAAATAAACGGTACTAAATGTGCTATATGTAAAGTTTACTTAATATTATAGGTGTCAAAAGAGCACTTCCATTCTTCTTCATTTTCATACTTATCAGTTTTAGTAATTTAAAGGAAAACATAACAACCTAAGTTTATTTAATAACAACTTTGTTTTTAATCATCCAGGATAATTCACCCTAAAAGCGTAATTAAGCTGGTGTTATGAATACTAAAGAAGTGATCCAAACACTTATATGCCTAAGCATTTTTTTTGTAAATACATATATAGTATACATAGAAAATACCCAGAACATATACTACATACATGACTACATACATCATACTCATGAATACAAAAGTTTGTACCTTGCGAGGAATCGAACCCGCGATTATCATAAGCAAAGCGGTGTGCTAAATCGCTAAACCACCTCAGCCGGAAAGTTAAACAAAAAGTCAACATATTTTAACAAAATTGGACGACACATTTTATATAGTTAAAAATATACAGCTTCAATTATAATTGATTACAAAAATAAAAAAGAGAATGTTAAGTAATTATTTACATACCTCTAAATTATCGAAATCTAATTTGAAGACCCATAATTTTAATCTTGATGACAGTTCATTGATAGATGCAAGCGTTAAGAGGAATTGCTCAGCGCTACCCAGCGGTAAGTCCGGATTGGCGTACTGAAAGAATAAGGGTTATATGTAGATAACGTGATACAGACGTGATAAACATGTATCGTATTGACGTTACTGCAAAATTAGTAGGCACATCATAGATTTCTCTATTTTGTTAAAAATACCTGTGCTTCTTGTATCTTTATCTTCTCTTCTTCAGTAGGCAGCATTGTCAATAGCTTCTCAATGCCTTCCCTACCAATAACCGTTGCATCCATTTTCATTATCGCCGCCTTAATTGTTTGCGGTGTAGGTAGCTTCTTCATAGCTATGTTTATGGCGTTTGATCGTTTTGCATCCAATATAAGATTTCTTTTCGGCTCCATGAGTTTCTAGAATATGTTAAATAATTGTTTACGAATATCATTCAAACAACGATTAAAATGGAATTATTTGTTTTTATCAATAATTATAAAATAATATCTTACCTCCTACAGTATATGCATATGGAAGTGGATTTAACCGGATACCGGACATGGAACAAGAAACAATTTAATATATTAAAAAAGTAAATTAACACATAATTTATTGTATTGATTCTAAAAAAATACAAACCTTAAGAATTAAGTCATTTGTTCTAGATTCAAATAAGTGTTCCAATATTGCAGTGTCCAAATTAATTTCGGGTAGATCATCCCAAATAAAGCCACCCAATTTGGGTCTAAGGGGCACCGGTGCCGGATTTTCCTGTATTTCTCGCCAGAAAAGTTTCACAGTCTTCTTACTTTTCTTAATCGTAGAACTATCAGAATCATTTGATAATTCGCTGGATAGATTAGGCTTCGGTGGTGGAACTGGGATGTTTTTGCTCAGCATAGTAAAAGGTAATGGCGGGGGAACACCGACAGGAGGAAGAAACATATTTGGCGGAGGTGGTGGCGGACCATTCGATATATTCACAGCTGGTGATCCCATATCATCATCAGAATCATGGCGTAAATCGGAGAAATCAAGATCACAGAGGTGAAATGCTCGGTTCATACAACCCTTTTTCAGTTCCTCCCAATGTAAATCGTTTTCAGAAACTTTAATTTCATGAACTTTAGGTGATTTTTCTATACTTGGACTCTTAATCACTTCTGTAAATTAGATAAATTTAAAAGTCGTGACAATACATATAATTATTTAAGGAATTCGCATTTACTTACGAAATACCTGATTTATTTAAAATTAAACCTACCTTTAGATTGTGACTTAGCTAATTCTTCTTTGGCTTTTGATACAATTCCTGTCATTTCCGCTACCCTTAATGGTTTATCTTCAGCTGTAGGGCTTACGGGGCTTGTCAACCTCTGTGCTAGATCCTTAATACTGTGCTCCCTATTCAACAGGATTCCCCGGTCATCTTTGGCTTCAGGAGTATTATCTAATTGTTTTTGCCGCATTACGGCTAACGCATCTACAGCATTAACACTATGCCCTAGTGTTCCATTTTGAATCCTTTGTTTCAGACCTGCTGTATATCTTTGGTTTCCTAGAAGTTCAAAAAAATTTAGTAGATATTTGACTAGTTGTAAAAATAGTTCTATCACAGCACTAGCGAATATTATGGACAGCTAAAAAAAGAGAAAAAGCTGACGTTTAGTGGGTTAGTGAATAAACAAACCATTTTTTAATACGTCTGCTAAGTTTAAGTTTTTCACTGTTCTACTGACATAAGCATCTTCTTCTTCTTGGTGACCGTTGACGCCATTCACGCCATTGCTTGCATAATGACTGTTACCATTACCATTCGCGTTCTTGTAATTGTTATTAGTGTTTGTATAATTCCCATTTGTATAATTTCCATTGTTATTGTAATTTCCATTGCCATTTTGATAGCTATTGGTGTTTCCAAAAAGTCCATTATAGAGTCCATTGGAATTGTTTAGCAGTTCTTGTTGCTGAGCTTGTCGTGCAAACCGATCTCTTCTTCTTCTTAGAGCTGTACTGAGTTCTTTGTTATCTTTATTGTCTATTATAGTAGGTAGGAATTGTGGTCTGTGGTTGTTGGAATTTTTGTTTTCGGGCTCCGCGTGGTTGGTGTCTAACGAATTTGCTGTTGTTAGTGAAAATGCCATAAATGTTAAACGATCAATTCAGCAAACACAATGACAAACATGAGGTTTAATCTTATGGGGATGGATTATTGTAAAAATGTTATAAGTAATGCTAGAAGGGTAATAAAGCGCCCTAGTCGTTAATAAAAATGATGTGCTTTTAAATAGTCTTTTTTTATAAATGAAATTTATAATCTGAACGCTTTCTCAGTGATTTATATAATAAACCAAAATATATAAAAATGTCTAATTTATTATTTAACTATATTAACTATAATAGATAACTATTAATGTGTATATTTTCAGCATATAATACCAATTATTTATTTATACCTTTACGAATAGAGCGTTTATTTTAATAAAATGATATGTAAATCGTGCAATTTATTTATGCAGAAAAAAAGACAACATAAAATCAAACTAACAAGATCACAGTTTTGTATTACCTTTATCTTTCATCTGTTGTTTTTTGGATTTCCTTCTCTCTGATGTGTTAAGGTTGATACTTCTTCGTCGTACAGATGTTACGACAGATTCGTCTAATTGTCTGAAATAATAAATCAACCTATTCAGTACCGTAAATACTAATAAAAATATTAATTAAAATATTACTATAATATTAGCACATGTTCTAAATAACAAAACGGCAATATCAATATCTAAAGACCAAAATAATTTAAAAAAATGTATGTGGCGTTCTTAAAATGTGCAAATGTTTCCTGTACTATATTTACTTACTTGAGAGCTGTTCCACTTTCATCACCATCCTCATACAGCAGTACCGCTTCAAATATTTGCAGTTGCCTCAAAAGATCCAAATCCGTTCCTTGTTTAGACATGTAAAGTTGAATAATATCATCAATACCCTGATCTTGCAATGCATCAACTTGATCGTAATAAGTATCCCTGTCAGGCACATTGTTTAGGCAAATATTTATCAACGTTGTAGCGTATATAAGAAGTTCTGTATCAGACGCATCGAAGTCTTGAAGAATCTTCATCAAATTGTACCAGGTCGGTCGACCATTTGAGCCATCCACTGAAGTTATTGCATCTATTAGGAGTAGACTATTATTCTCCGTATACTCGACGAATACGACTAGAAGTTTCAACGCTGTCTTGACAACGTGACGGAATTTACTGGATATGAGAGAATATAGCCACTGCACGCAGTGTTTGTGTCCCATAACGCCGTGCATGCCGTCTACATACAGCAGAATCTGAAAAAGATCATATGAAAATATGTAGGTATAGTAGATGATATGCTTAGGGAGAAACGAACTTCTGAGCTTTCCATGCCTTCAACGTGCGGGTGACGGGTCTATCGTGTGGCGAAGGAAACTCCAAACAGTTCCCAGTAGATTTAAGAAACCCCTTTGTTGACGTACCTCTGCACTCATATATTCACGTCTCGCGTTTCTCTCTCTGCCCAGGCAAATCTGAAAGGTGCCTGTTTAGTGCTGTTTTAGAAATACGTTCTAGTATAGAATTTACTGCAGTTCTAGACAGGCCAAGATCTTTTAGAAAATTGTAGAGATTTCACAGGTATATCTCTCGCTCCCACTTCGACCGCATATAACCACATAATAAAGTAGATTTTTTACGTAATGGCAGTTAAGCTAATGGTCCATCTAATCACTAATGGTATGTCTATATACATGAACAGCACTACGGGAAACTTAACTAAAGAACCCACGCAGATAATTTTATAAATAAAGTAGAACTTACTCCTGTTTTGGTATAGCAGTGACTTACTTATTATTTGAGGTAAAATTTTGTGGATAGTAATGGGCATACACATGTAAATATTTTACTTACTTGACCGAGGGCTCGTAGTATGTAGTCAATATAATTTTGATCCTCCATATTGCCGATCTGCATCAGACAGTCCAATCCTTTGTTGGCTACGAAGTCGTGTACCAGATCCTTGTCCGACTGCAGTATTTGTTTGAGTGAGAACAACGCTCTCCTAAGCTCTCGCCCTTGTGTGCGAAGCAGTCTCTCTATAAAAATATCCAATAAAAACATATATTAATCTTAATCTTAGTAAAATTATAAAAGCGAAAGTTTGTAAGTATGGATATTTGTTACTCTTTCACGCAAAAACGACTGAACGGATTTTGATGAAACTTTACAGTAATATAGCTAATGCATCAGGATAACATATAAGCTATAAATTTTTTTATTGAAATTTACGCGGGCACAGCATATTTAGTTTAGTTTATATTAGATAGATTACGCTGGTAGGTCTTAAAAATACTGTCTCGTGTGAAAGAAAACAACTAGTAAATAAATGAATAAAACAATCACTTTTTGGGGTCACACCATGTAACATGAAAAGTAGGTTAGTTATCTATGATAGTAACAAAATACTAAATTTTTATTTTATGACATACACATGTGTCCAGCGTTAAAGATTTTAGAACCTACATAATATATTGTCGTTTTCATGAAAAGGTATTGAATTATTAAATATTGACGAAATAATACTAACGAGTGTCAAATACAATAGCAATTTCGATTAACGACGAATTATCAAAATAAAATTTTTATTCAGTAATATATTAATAATAATTACTTTTAACTAATTTAAATAAAATTATTATGAAATGTAGTATTGCACATACAATATTAATGTTGGAAGCCTATCGTGTTCATCGTACAATTTATATATGTTTTTTATTCTTCTAAATAAAATATAGTAATATAATATTTGAATGTAGATTTATGATTAGAGCCTATTTATTCACCCTTTATTGAAATTGGGTATAAATACCGTTCGACAAAATCACAATTGGAAATAGAGAATGTTTTCAATCTATAACAGTAAACACATAACTTCAAGTAATTATAGTAATAAAGATAACTTACCAATAATAGCATGCACCCGAACCGGTAGCTGGGTCCGCAGAACGAGTGCATTTTTGCGGCTGGAAATTGAAAAACAATCAATAAATAAAACACTGCAGCATACAGCTATAAGCAAAGGGGACTTAAACCAATCTCAGTGCATCATAAATTGTGTAGATATAATATTCAACTTAGATACATACATAGTCTAAACTAAGTTAGTTTCGTATAACTGTCCTTGAATAAAAAAATTGTTAAAGTACTTAAGTATAAATTAAGTCACGAATACATCATCTATAATTATCACTTAATAAAATAAAAACGATATAAATAATTGTATCTATGTACATTTAAAATAAACACACTTATAGATTTCTAAATTACAATCGAAATTAGTACGTAATCCGAAAATATTTAATGAATACATAGTTAGGATGTAACTAAATGTAGGTACTAGGTGGTCTTTGAGTATATCTACTAAGACAAAAGTCCATGATAATATTTCTGATATAGAACAAATTACCTCAGAAAAAGGAAAATAATAAAGAAAGTACTCATACAATGCTGGTCATGACATGACCCATTTAGAATAAATACTTCAAATATTAATTCAGTGTTACTTTTTGTTTCTGATTTTCGACTTGATACGACATAAGCAAATTTTTTTTTTAAATTGGCATTATTTTGGTAGTTGCGAACAATTAAAATGATTTAATTTTATATTAATGTCTATTTAAAAAACTCACACGTCTAATTCGTCTTCGGACATGTAACCTTGGTAATCAAGCAAATGATGATCATCTTCGGCAATGCCAGAGTCTATTGATATCTCCCTGATGAGTTTAGATTGACTGTCATCCTCTACAGAAGACGAGCGTGTGAAGCGACCGTGTTCCATCTCACTTGAGTATATTTTCCCTGGGTTGACTATAAACATGTACAGTATGATGTACATTTTCTATATGACAGATGCTTAATTATCTATTATTGTATACCTACTATTGGAAAACTACTTGAAGGAACGATAATATTTTCATTATAGGTACTTATCAATATGGAATAATATCATTCCATTTTTTAAATTCTTTATATATTTATATCTAAAATTCAAATCTATGAGAAAAATATTGAAATTATATTCTCCAACAAAGAAAGATACACGAAATAATAGAGAAGTTATATTGTTTTTATCGGACGTAAATAGTCTCTTGTGTAGTAAACTTCATTAGTTTCAAATATTCGTATATGTTTTCATAGATGTAGTTCTATTCCCTAAAAGAAATTTTACCAAATTTGGAAAAATTACATGTTCTATTAAAATCAAGTTTTTATCAAACTTCACTGACTGGTACAAAAATAATTATAAATTGTAATATTTCGTGTGCAAATAATATTATTATTCTTATTATCTATTAAATACTAAGTAAATGTACATACCGATTTAATTTGATGGAAATAATACGATAAACGTCCGCATCGGCCGTGCTATGGTAAGTCAAAACGTCTAACTAGTTCAATCCACGCGTTCCCGAATTCTCTAATCGATGTAGTGCTTGAGTGAAAAGTATCGATACAATCGACTAACCTTTGCAGGTAATTACTTTTATGTACATCGTCACTAGTATAAAATTAATACATAATGATCACGATAAAACAACCTTACTATTTCCCGGTGTATATGTATACATATATAAATATACTTCACGACTCCTCTCTCAGAGGGGGTAATCTGATTCACTATCGACAGTTGACGACGCCGTGATGAACGCAAAATTCAACAGGTCAATATTTTGCATTTGGGTATATTTGAATCTAACATGATTGCCACACAAGTATCTAGGCTTAGTTTTGTTTGTTTTCGGTGTTTCCTTCGCCACGGTTACAGGACTGGTGTCGTATTTGAACTTAATACTTTTACGTCTAATTCGGAGTAAAAGAGACTACTATAAAAGACTTAACGGATTTTAAGAATACCTTCACTGATTGAACACCAATTATCAGCAAGTGACAGGGCTGTATGTTATTTGAAAAAGATATAGATTACTAGGATATAATATGAAGACAGGCGGGTCGCAAGTTAAGCACTCGTATCTTAGTATCAGAAACAGCCTGTAGACAATTAAACAGCGCATAGTTCATTGTTTAGCGTTATGCAGTTTTTGCCGCGCATACTTCATAGCGTTTGTGATTCGATTTAAAAAAAAACATACGGCTCGAGACACTCACGGTTTCGCTTGTAAAGTTTTCTGCTTTCTATAGCGAATAAAATGGTTTTGTTTCAATCACCTTTATTAGATTTTCTCTATTCACGAAATAGGCAGCATTTACTTTATAAATATATATAATTTTAATAATATGTATTTAGATACAGGCAATTTAATATTATAAAAATATTATCTCATATTTTATATATATATATATATATATATATATATATATATATATATATATATATATATATATATATACCTTAAAGACTAACATATACATGTAGAATACTAGCCGACCCCTGCATCTTCGTTTGCATCAAACTTACTTATTTATCTTTATATTTCTCCTAATTTACATAATATCTTTTTAATTTACAGCCTATGTATAAACTATATTACTTTAACATTTCAACAAAATCAGAGCAGTAGTTTTTGTGTGAAAGAGTAACTAACATTCATCCATTTATTCATCCATTCCCAGAAATTTTCGCATTTATAATATTAATTAATTTTTGAAAATTTCTGAACTTAGGCTATACAATTCTAACTTGCAATTTTATTTACCATTACTACTTACTTATTGACTGATTAACCATTATAATGGTCAGTAAGTAAGTAGTAATCATAGATAATAGTTTATCTAGGATACTTATAATCTGTGTACCAAATTTCATTCAAATATGTCATACATATACATAAATAGTATTTCTCCCAATCAGTTGGAGTAATGAAATGTATTTAGTTTACGAGGTTACGCGTTACAGTGACCCAAATGAACACACATATACATGAAACTGCCGAATTTTGTGATCTATTTACAGTGTTTAGTAGGAAGTCGAGATTGTAGAACGTCACAGGACGCCTCAGAACTCCCAGAATGTTCAGCTCTAACGATTTGGATGAAAATTTGTATTTTCATAATATTTTCTTGTCTTAAGTAGGTATATATATAAATAAACAAATAATAATAGGAAGGACATTCTATTCTCAACTAAACAGAGTTTGTTATGGGTACCAGAAAACTAATATATGATATATAATAAATAGAAACAGAAAATACAAATATATCTATGTATTGTGCAGAAATAGAACCTGCGGTCGTCAGTCTGTATATAGAGGTAGTACGCTAAAAAGCAAACTTAACAAAAAAGTCTCCTATTGAAGAAGATATTTTCCTTTGCATTAATGAAAATATAATTAGATTAAGTAACTAAACTAATACAGTGGATCAAAAACTGCTATTGTTATTATTTTATGTGTTTACATAAATTCTACAATTCTTATATTTTTAATAAGAATATAATTAACGTTACTACTTAGCGTAGTTCAACTCCAACATGAAATTACGATAGAGTTATGTTTAAAATCGAACGTGTATATTGAGTTATGTTCGACATATAAAGGAGTCAGAGTAGTGATGCATGGTTTAGAACAGCTTCCGTAAATTATTTCATCCGCGTACGGGGGACAGTGGGGGACTGTTACTTCCTCATAACATAAAATGGGGGACTCCGTCACATATTATTGATATAGTTATACGAGTTTAACATGAAAATGGCAATTTTATGGCAAATAAAGGTATTTACCTCTCTCGACGTTACGACTACTTAATATATTGCGCTAGCCGTGGTCTCGAGCTGATTGGAGTAAAATTATTCGTGTTATAATCCGTTTAACTATAATATATCAATAATCTTTCATATATTGTTGAATATACACTGCCTGTGGGTTCTCATAAATCCCATAACAGCTGCTGTGTTGGTAAAGCAGTGAAGTGAAAGTTCAGAGTACCAAACGGCAAACTATCTGATGGGCCACCTTAGAGGCCACTCTAAACTGCCAGTCCTAATGTACAAGACAATATAAATAATAACCCAGGACAATTCACATGACGTCATATAGTTTGAAGCTAAGCAGAGCTTGTGTTATGGGTAGGTACCTACTAGACAACTGATATTCATACTAAAATACATTTTTCTTTGTAAACACATACATGTTATACATAGAAAACTCTTCTACAAATACAATTATGTTTATGAATATAAACGTTTGCACTATGCGAGTAATCGAACCCGCCACTAACAAAAGTAAAGCGATGTGTTAAACAGCTTGACCACCAGGGTCGGTTTACGTATTTGTTTATGTTTTACATTTTTTTACAATTATATTACATACCATCCAGCCTAATTATATGCATTATTAATTAATTATATTATACACCTACTGATAATTGAATGACTATTTTATTATTCTATTTATACGTACTATGAATTGAAAATTCGGTATGACTATTTATTACGTCTTCACGACTGAATATACAATTTCATTAATATCCTATTAATGAAATTGTATATTATTATGAGGATAGATATAGACTATCCATTATCTTAAAAAAGCACATGAATTGGGGTAGTAACTAGTTTGTTATAAATATATTGATAAAATTTAAACTAAGAGCGTCATCCAAACGACTTCAAAGAGGAGGTTCTTATATTATAATAATTAAAAAGTATTACATCAAATTACATTTTGTTCTACAAAAGTACCGATTTGAAGGTAATAAAATTAGTATTAGACGGACAGGATTAAATTATGTCAATTGAAATCATCGCTATGATAGTTATCACATTCTGTAGATCACCCCGTTGATATGAGAAGGCAACGGCGCAATTATTTTTCAATGTAATTGGTTGTCTATGTTTATTGGTAACCGTTGCACAACTTATGCGCTACATTTCCGGAAAAAACATCTCCATTCTCTGTTATTTTGCCTTCTGGGTCTACCTGGGTATATATCTGGGTATATCTCACCTATTGGGTAAATACATTCTACAAAGGAAACGACTTGGCAGCTGGAATAGACAAGACAAAGGTACCCAAGTAGATGACTTAGTATAACGTTTACCTCGATCAACCGAATTATAAACCACCTCTTTGAAATCATTTGAAAAAAATCTAATTATCAGAAGATACTCACTTCTCTTGTAGACCTTCAAGTTCTTCATCCTGCTCGCCCAACGTGGAGTCGAGGTCCAGGTAGGGGCCGTAGTCACCGTCCTTGAACACCTGCAGTGTTGCGTCGTCCAGCTGAATGAAAAAGATAACATAGTTCTAGATGAATTCGTTTTTCAACTAAAATTAATATGAACAAATTATAATTTAATATTTCCAAACATAAATATTTCATTATATAAAACGCCATCTATACCCTACTACAAAGACTACAACTATTATTGTGGTGCTTTCTAGATTTCCCTGCAGGTCTTTATGTCACTAGTCCAGAAACAGAGATGGCGCTGTCAAGTGTTATTTATGTCGTCTTAAATTTGTATAAAGTTTAGTATATTTATACTGAACGGGAATTTCTTCGGGAAAACGTTTCTAATTTGACAAGTAAATATCAAATCAGTAGTATCTAGTCTAGGTTTTTAACGACATTCTAATGGTAAGCAAGCTGATGGTAAAATACGACATATAGATCAGAGCGACAGAATAATATAAATATAATAATTGAATAGTTAAGTTGAATCGATCATGCGATTTTTATATGACTTCTATAGTAGTATCTAGGATCTGAACTATGTAGATATATGTATATGCAATGCGTATTCGACGTATTTTTTTAAATTAAAATTAGGCTTAATTTTACTAATTGGCTATTTGCCAAACAAGTAGTGGAAAACTGGAGCGAAACTTAAAATAGTGCAGTTTTATCCCATTTCGTCATTTAAAATAATAAAAAATAATATGATATACTTTTTAAATATCAGTAAGTACCTATTTGATTATTTTAGATAGACGTAGTGGTATAGACTATTCTTGCGGCGATAGAAAAGTACTAATCAGGTGATTAGGACATTAGGAATTATATAAATGAATCCTTATTTTCTTTGGTCACAGCATCACACATGAACGGCCGGACCGTATTCGACAATTCATTTTGTTGTATTTATTAGTATCAGTTGAATGTTACAAAAGAAAGAATTAAGTAATTACGGGAAATTCCTTTTTTATTAATTAATTTACAGATGCGAATTCAATATTCATAATTAAAACAGTAGAGATGTATAGTGGTGAACACACATCTTTAAGACCTGAATAATCTTTAAATGGAATCTGACTGATGACAAATATATATTTATATGTCTAACTTACACTGCTTTGATAGAAACACCAATTACAGATGAATGCAATGAACAGCTTTAATACAAATAATTTCAACTAAATCTGTCCTACGCGTATTGTTGATCACAACTTCGGCCGATGAAAATACTCTGACAGGGTATGGGATGGTTAGTAATATATAATATGAACTAATAAACCCATTGCTAGCAATGTACCATGACCTTATGTAGTTCCCCTTGGGAACCATCGTAATATTCCTGGTGAATTTGCCGCGATGACTAACTGATATGTACTCATGTATAATTATCATTTCATCCACTAACGTGTCTACCATTCTATTATTATCCATTGAAAAATGGGTCTGACTAGTCCATTTGAGGTTACGGTATTGAGGATTAAGATTATTTAAATAGGTGTCAGAAGTTTGTTAGACATAGTCCTAATACGACTCAAGTGATGATACGGGTAGGTAATTGGTTTTTGTTGACATACAACTATCTCGTTCTTATCTATTCCATGGGAACAGAAATGTTTTGTTATAGCCCAATACATTCCCATGGACCGATAACAGTGACAAAATTGTCATGGAGACAATATAGTCACACGTTCATGTTATGTTCGAAGGTAAACAAAGCAATCTGACTAGGGGTGAAAGCAAATATAAATTTCTATAGATATATCTAGACCCCGACCCCGCGAACGTTGTTTTGCAATATAAATAAATATCGTTATTGAAAAACAGGGGTTGGTGGTGGATGGGTGAAAATTTGGGGTTGTTACATACAATTTTTGTTTCCATACAATTTGGAAACAAAAAGTGTAGCCGTTTCGGAGGTGTTTGGTCCTATTTGCACTAATCTTAGAAACAGATCAACAGATTTGGATGTGGTTTTTACTAATGTATAATTTTAAGCTTCACTTTAAATTTATTGTTTGTTTACTATAATCGGTTTTAAAACAAAAAACTTATGAATTTACTTATTCTTTTACGCGAAGCTGCGGAAATTCAGTTAGTGTAAAATATAGTCATCATACGAAGGCCAAGTCGAAGGTCAATAATAGTAGTCATGAAATAACAATTTTGTCAATGACGCAAAGTGGAAAACCATCAATCAAACAAAAAATCAAAATATAATCATGTACGTACATATATACGATATCTTCCTCTCAAATATATTATTATTAATATTATTAACGCGAAAGTTTGTGAGTATGGATGTTTGTTACTCTTTCACGCAAAAACTACTAAACGGATTTTTATGAATCTTTATAATGTAATAAAGCTTCTACATCAGAATAACACATAAATGATATTCAGTATAAATTTCACGCGGGAGAAGCCGCGCACACAGCTAGTAATAATTACACAGACGTAGTAACAAACAGACAAACTAATAAACTTTTGCTGTTATAAAATAAGATATTATTCGACAATTTTAATAATATTGCGCGGTATGTAAGTATAATTGAAATTTTCAATTAAGTATCAGTATTCTTGCATTCATTAGCCGTTAGCCTCTGAAAGGTATATAAAATACTTGTTTTTTATGAGTATCTTCAGCTACTAAACTAAAGATACCAACTCATAAAATGTCGGACGTAGCTCACGTGGGTACCAGTATTAGCTAACGCTTCCCAGAATTATGAACATGTTTATATTTTCGTTGGTGAATAATTATGTTGACGTACATACATATATGTAGTATCTGCATGTGGCCATCAGCTTTCATCATGAATACAACACACTTGTGATTGAAGAGAATGATAATTATAGTTAGGGTTGATCGATATTAGAAAAACATCGATGCCAACATCGATATATGAGTATCGATCGACGATCTTTCCCCTTGGCCTATTTAATTTCCTCTCACTTTGTATTTCGAATGACCACTTTTTAGGTCGTCAGATGTCGGATTCTAACTGTATGGTCTAATTTTAAATTTCGAATTACCTTTTATTTATATCGTATTATTGTAGACGATATATAAACATTTTTCGATTAAAAATCGGTCTTTTTACGAGTAAAATATCGATGTATATCGATCATCCCTAATTATAGGAAAGATATGATTGTTGTGTATTCATACACTGATACGAATTACCAATTCGAAATGGTTACTAATTATGTATACTTATCAGTAATGTAACAAAATAAAGATTGTCTGTCTATTTCGCCACCTGTATTGTAATATTTACAATCACAAAAAATTGGTCTGCACCCAATTTTTATGACTTTCACTCATGTTCTTCATGAATTCTCTAGTTAGCTATTATAGCTATATCTAGAGAACAATTTTTTTATTTGACAGTTGCAGAGGAGCTGCTTTCCGCGTTCACTTAGATTATGGAATGAACTATCTGTTACCACTTACGAAAGAACCGTCAGCTTGTTTGACATTACTATTATGAAAAAAGATTTTTTTGTAATAAAATCTAAGTCATTACGTACGTTTCATGTTTATTTTTCTATTTTGTGCAATAATTGGATTTGAAACTGTATCGCGTACGAAGCCAAATCGTCTAGAACGTCTGGATTTGCCCGTATATTCGGTGATTAATGTTTCCGAATTAGTAGGCGGGAAACCGAATGACTAATTGCACGAAGATAATGGCACCGCAGGTTACGCAAGTGGATTCATTGTGGAGTCTCCGATATAGATGCTATCACCAACTGTAATGTTCAGTTGCAAAACCGAGGCGTTACGATAATATGCACATGATAATACTCTGTGAGATTATAAAGAGTTCAACTCTTTGTCTGCTGAACAAAGATTGTTTAATACTCGTATGATTGATATTGACATTACGTGACCATCGAAATATGTTTTTTCGACATGTAATAATGTACATACAATTAATTTATTTCTATTAATCTTTGGCCAAAGGGTAAATTAAGACAGTATGCACTAAAACTGCAAGTACATGGACGGATAAAGTTTCATGCAGAAGCTAGTTGTCCTTATGCAAATTATGAAGTTATGGATAAATACCACACAGGTGTTATCGTTTGTGTTTAATAATTAACCGTTAAAGAATTTCTTCATCCCAATTCCAAAAAGTGTATGTACAATTTGATTATTGCAAACTTGTGGTATTTGTATTATTACCTACCTACCTCAGCTTCTCACGGTGACAGTCGTATATAATGATAATATCTGCTGGTCAATTCACATGACAATATGCAGAGCTTGTAATATGGGTACTAGACAACTTCTATTCAATGTTTTTCGACTGAAATTCACAACTTATATATTTAAATATATATAGGTATAAAACAGCCATACTATTAATAATAATTGTACAAACCATCAAACCCGCGACTATCCGTAGTAGAACGATGTGCTAACCGAAACTATAACAAGTGCCAGTGCCTAGTCCAGCAATGCCATTATAATTTTGACATTTAAGATTTGATTTAGAAATTATCGAATTAGAAAATATCAATGAAAATCATATGGTTCTCATTGTAATCTAACGGAAACTGATCAGTTATATATTAGAAACAAGGGGAGAAATAAACAGATTAACAGTTTGCTTTAAACTATTTACGCAATCTACAATTTGCTCTATCATATTCCCCTGCATACTAATATAGTTGGTCAATTATCAACAGAAGCAAATGATTACTAATTTGTAGAGGTAACTAATTAGATAGACTTTGTTTAAAAATAACTGTCATTGAAGCATGCTAAAAAGTTCCTAGTGTGCTCTTTCATACTTTTGTCATGCAAGCATCTATTAATTCGAGATGACATCAGTCATCCGTGAGAACTTGTCTATGAGATCACAGTACTTACTTAGCAGTTTGATTGAACAACAAACATTATGATAAGAGTTATAAAACTGACAATCAACATAAACTATTCTGTCGATGATGCGATAATTGATTTGTGATGGATTTATAAATTGTCCGTCTTTACGAAAATAACCAAGAATTATATGTTTAGATGCGAAAATTGTAT